TTGTTTCTTGTTTATTTTCCCCTTTGCATATATATATCCTTGCATATATCTTATTGAATATCATCATTGTTAGGATATATTTATTAATTAATTTTAATCGACATTAATATCTAATAAGATATGAAATTTGTCCACAAGATTAACTGAACATGATAAATTCTACATAATTAACTGAGATGAAAAATTGTTTAAACATGTTTACAGAACTTAGGTATCACAAACCTAGGGTCTAAACATCTCTCTTTTGCATGAAAACTCAATTAATAATAAATCTAAGGTTTAAACATGATTAGGACATGATTAAAAAATTAAAAACAAAATTAACAATAACCCTAATGATCATGATCTTGTTACTAAAATAAACAGCAAGAAATAAACTTCTCATCTATCATTAGATTAAGATTTAACCTCAAAAATCATGTTTTTAAAGCATGAGGTTAAACTTCAACATGAGATTCATTATTATAATTAATAAAGAACTTAATCTTTACTAAGGGAAGGGTTTGGAGGAAGATGATCTTGCCTTAAATACTGCTATAAAACTCAACGATATAAGAAAATAAGCTCTCCCTTGCCAAAAGCCGACAAACTCACCCTCTTCTCGGTATTTGCTTCACAAAACTCTCAAAATTCACCTAAAAGTGATCTAGGGTTTTTGAGAGGAGAGGGTGACTGCTTGAGTTTAGAGATTTGATTAAAGAGAGAATTTTCATAAAAAGCATAGGTATTTATAGAGGCAAACCCGAAACAAACCTGTTTAACCAGAACCAGAAAACCTTGTCTGACTAGAAAAATAACCTTCGGTATGTTGGCTATAACGTTCTCGTCCGACCTCAGAATGAGGTGATCTAACATTTGTTGGAAAACTATTGAAAAGTCCTACAATGTTTATCTTATGAGTATTTCCCAATTCTTATTGTATTAATGTGTAAAATATAAAAACTTTTAACTGGTTGTTTTTCCATATTTACGCTCATGCTTGTCGTGCATGATTTCACTCCTATATTCATATATATATACATTGTGTTGATCTCAAATCAATCCTTAGCATACTCAAACATCAAAATATATTATTTATCACAATATAACATATTTATTATTATTTTGCACATAATATTCAAAATTTATAGGGTTTTACATTCTTTCCCCCTTAAAAGAATTTCGTCCCCGAAATTCCACAATCGTATCTTAGGGATTAATAATATGAGAAAAGCACTAAGAGAGGATAATCTAGACAAGGAAACCCTCCCGTACACATCTCGTACCATTAATTCCTAGATATGAAACATAGCAATATCTACACTTGACCATCTAGAATGTGAATACTCCCACTTAACTCCTAACTAAGCGGAACAAGTACGTAGGGCGAAAAAATCCAAACATGGAACCCCCCCATATATATACCATGTGTTCGGAATAATTAGGAGTTAAGTGTTAATACCCTTATTCTAGCGTTAAATATAAATATAACAATATGGATAATCATGAACACCAATCAAAATTAATCAATTTATCTGCTCAAACAAGTGCGGGTAGTCGTGACGTATAACATCTCCGCACTCCCTCTAGAATCCTTCTCGATATTCATACTTAACAATCTAGAATGTAAATACTCCCACTTAACTCCTAACTAAGAGAAACTAATACGTCGAGCAAAAAATCCAAATAAGGAACCCCCCATATATATATCATGTGTTCCGAATAATTAGGAGCTAAGTGATTATTCCACTATTCTAGCGTTAAGTATAAATATGAGAATGTAGATAATCATAAACATAGGCGAATCATATCCAAACAATTTACTTGCTCAAATAGGTTCAAGTCGTCCTGATGCATATCCTCATCGCACCCCAAGAAACTTCCTCAGCTCCTTTCCGATTCTATTGAACTTTAACTAAAGGAATCACTTTGTTTCTAAGTCTCTAGCTCCTTTCCGATTCTATTGAACTTTAACTAAAGGAATCACTTTGTTTCTAAGTCTCTTGTCCTCCTTGGCAAGAATATCTATTGAACTTTAACTAAAGGAATCACTTTGTTTCTAAGTCTCTTGTCCTCCTTGGCAAGAATACACATATGAATTTTAATAATAGTTATATCATCAAGAATCTCGATCTCTGGCATGTCTAACACTCGCTGCTACTCCTCGTCACGTAGATGCTTCTTAAGCATCGAAACATGGAAGACATCGTGTATACTCGACATTTATGCTGGAAGATCTAGCCGATATGAAACAACTCTAATGCGCTCCACTATCCTGAATGGACGGATATACCTCGGGGCAAGCTTTTCCTTGTCAACCAAAATATTGAATTCCCTTCATTGGCAATATTTTCAACAATACATAGTCCCCAAGTAGGAACCCTAATAGTCGTCGTCTCTGATTTGTATAACTCTTCTGATGATTTTGCACTGCAAAATGTGCTCCCGAATTATTGCTACTTTTTTGTAGTCTATCTCACTAACTTCGATCCAAACAATAGGCTATCTTCTGGTTCTAACCAGCAAATAGGTGATCTACAAGACCTCCTGTACAACACCTCATACGGTACAATACCAATTGTTACTTGGTAACTGTTGTTATAAGAGAATTCAACTAATGGAATGTCGTTCTCTCGGCTACCCTGGAAATCTATAACACAAGCTCTTAATGTATCCTCCAACACTTGGTTAAATCTCTCTGTTTGTCTATCTATTTGCGGGTGGAAACTACTAGAATACGACAACTGGCTACCGAAAGAGTTTTGGAAGCTCCTCCAAAAGTGCAAAGTGAAAATCAAGACTCGGTCTGATATAATTGTCTCTGGAACTCCATGTAATCTCACTATTTCCTGGATGAATATCCTCACATACGTCTCTTCCGTGTATGTCGCCTTCAATGAAATGAAATGTGCTAACTTTATCAACGGATCAACTATTACACAAGCTGAATCATTTCCCTTCTTCGACCTTGGCAAATCATACAATAAAATCCATAGAAATATCTGCCCACTTTCACTCCGGAATGAGTAAAGGCTGTAGGGTTCCTACAGGTTTTTGATGTTTTGTCTTCACTTACTGATATGTAAAACATCTAGTCACATACTCTGTAATCTCCTTACGCAATCCGCTCCACCAAAAGTATCCCTTCAGGTCCTTGTATATTTTAGTTGTGCCTAGATGCACTGTGTACCTGGATGCGCCTCGTGAAATAAGTCATACTTCAACTACGAATCACTCAGCATCACAAAGCTCCCAAAAATACGCTACCTCTGCTGATCTCCGGTCTAAAATAAAATTAGCAAAGGGTGTAAATATCTCGATATAACGAGCACCTCAAAGCTGCAATCCGATGATGACGCTTCCTACTCAATACGTCTGCTACAACATTAGCCTTTCCCGGATGATACTGAATCACAAACTCGTAGTCTTTGATAAACTCAACGCATCGTTGTTGTCTCTGATTTAGCTCTTTCTGAGAGAAAATATACTTCAAACTCTGATGATCCGTGAAAAGCTCAAATTGTACTCCATATAGATAATGTCTCCATGTCTTTAGTGCAAAGACCACTGTTACAAGCTACAAGTCATGCATTGGATAATAATGCACATTTTATCAGTTGCCATGATATGTATGCCGGTACTCTCTGGATTTGCATCATCAAAGCACCTCCTAGACCCGATAACGACACATCTGTATAGACTACAAAGGTCCTTTCACTACTCGGAATAATCAATATCGGTGTTGTAGTTAACTTAGCCTTTAGAGTCTCAAAGGCCTCCTGGCATCCCATGCCAGCGTGTAAGTGGCATTGCAATCTTTAAAAAATCCTGAATAAACTTCTTGTAATAGCCTACTAAACCTAAGAAATTGCAGATCTCTGAAGCTGTCTTCGGCGGCTCCCAAGTAAGTACTGCCTCCACCTTTGCTGGGTCTACTACAATACACTCCTTGCTGATGACATGGCCTAAAAAATATGACTTCAAAAATCTAACACTCGCATTTGCTGAACTTGGCATATAACTAATGCTCCCGTAAGGTCTGCAATGCCAATTGAAGATGCTGCTCGTGTTCTGCCTCCGATCTCGGATAGACAAGAATATCATCGATGAATATAATCAAAAATTTGTCCAAATATAGACAAAAACCCGGTTCATCAAATCCATGAATACACAGGTGCATAGGTCAGCCCAAATGGCATGACAAGAAACTCAAAGGATCCATATCGAGTCAAAAGGCGGTTTTGGGAATATCCATCTCCCGAACCCATAACTGATGATAGCCAGAACGAAGATCAATCTTCAAAAAATACTATGCTCCATATAGCTGGTCAAACAAGTCATCAATCCTCGGAAGTAGATACAGATTCCGGATAGTGACCTTGTTTAGCTCACTATAATCTATACGAAGGTTCATACTACCATCCTTCTCCTTCACGAAGAGAACCATCACTCCCCATGGAGAATAACTCCAGCAAATAAAGCCCTGAGATAACAACTCATCTAGCTAAGTCTGTAGTTCCCTCATCTTAGTAGGTTCCATACGATAGGGTGCTCGGGATATCGGTGTTGCCCGGCTATAACTCGATGCAGAACTCAACCTCTCTCACAGGAGGTAACTCAGGTATGTCCTAAAAAACATCCTAATAATCTAAGACAACTCTAGTCTCACATAAATCAGCACTATGATCCCTCAGCATCACCTCCTCATTGTACACCAGAAATGACTCTGCAAACCGGTTACCCTGTGAGGTCGCTACTATCAACTCAGACCTATCAGACGCTCGCAAGATGACTGTTTTAGAAAAACAATTGATGCTAACATGGTAGGATGATAGCCAATCCATACCGAGAATGACATCAAACTCTAACATCCAAAAAACTATTAGATTAAAAATAAACATGGACTCATCAAGATTGATGACACATCTCCTATAAATACTCTCAATAGGGATACCTCCCCTAAAGAAGTAGAGATGGATAACGAAAAGTCTAAGGGATGTGTAACTAGCTGAAACCTATCCATGAAGGTATGAGAAATAAAAGAATACGAAGCTCCTGAATTGAACAAGATCTGAGCTAGAAAGGAAGAATCACCAAGAAATCTCCTCTCGCACCATGATCATGTGGTACGACTGCATAAACTCTGTCGGTGGTTGGAGCCTTTTGTGCTACTGGCGGTGGAATCTATGGGACTATCTATCCCTTAGGAATCTCTTGGATAGCATGCATCTGGCCTACTGGCCCTTTGGTCCTCGAAATGGTAGGTGGTGCCTCAATCCTCTGCTATTGGTCGTAATCGTGGCCCTGCGACTGCTCACCCTGACCACTATTCTACTGGTGGTGATGAAAATCCTTACACTGTTGTTAGGATCCTCTCGGTCTTGCAAAAGGTTTCTAATCCTTGTCCTGGTCTTCGGACAATCCTGCTTCTAAAATTAACTCTTAGTATGTCTCCCTGCCGTAATCAGGTTAGTTTTAGATGCTTATCGAAATAGTAGATGAAATCCTTCCATGAAATTGACATTCACTTCTCCGACGTAACTGAAATTGATGTTATCCTCCGGCATCATTCTTTAAGCTAAATATAACTAATCTCTGCTTATGTATTGAGTCAACGTTAAGCATATCTAAAAATAATTCCCACATATTCCTTCCACTTATAGGCTGCAAATGAATCCGATGTGCCCTAAAACTCTGGTGCTCTCATCTTCTGATGTCTTTCTCATTCTTACAGAGCCAAGCTGTTAGACCCTAGAGGATGGGTGATTAGGGTCTTATGTTAATCTAATCCGATTTTATGCTAATTAAAACTAATTAATAAGTTATCCTAGCAAGTATAAAATATAACAAGATATGTGAGCCTAATTAAAACTAATTAATAAGTTATCCTAGCAAGTATAAAATATAACAAGATATGTGAGCTAGGATAAGTGATATACACAAGGGTAAATAGCAAGTATAAAATATAACAAGATATGTGAGCTAGGATAAGTGATATACACAAGGGTAAACAAAATAAGCAAGATAGTGGATGATATAAATAATAAGCAATGGAGAATTGCGACAAGAAATATAAACATAAGAGGAGTGCACCAAAGCAAACTCAAACACATGCTATGATCACGGAGTTCGGACCTTCCATCCTACATCTCCGCTCCCCACTCCCGGGGAGAAATCCACTATCACAACTGGGTTTTCTACGCTAACCCAAATAACATTTACACCTCACAATGTCAGTTTTTAACGCTCACTGATCAACGTTCACAAACACTCACAATGTCGGTTTTCAACGTTCACCGATCAACGTCTACACTCCACACCTCACAATAACAACAAATGATTTGTTCTCTAATACAAGGCGAGAACTCAATTAAAGCTTACACTCAATTATTACAACTCTCACCAACCCAAATATACTATGTATGAAAATACAATAAGCTCAAGTGGGTGTGTGTAAACAATGAGTGAAATCAAATCAAATCAAACTAAACTCAAATATAAATACTAGCTTAATAGAATGATAATCAAACAATACAAAATATAAAGCTAGATAGAGTTTAGAAAACTTCTTCAATAAATAACAAGAGAGAGAGAGATGGATTGAAGCTCAAATATCAATAAATTGATCTCCACTTCCTCTTGTGGAATTCTTCACAAACCAAACCCTTAAGCAAACTTAAAACCAAACTTAAAACAAACTTAAACCCTTGTTAAACTCTTGTTTAAAAACTTCTTAACATCTTGAAAGATGAGAGCAAAGGGGTATATATAGCCTCCCAAAATCTCAGCTAAAACCCCAAAGGAAATAACCAAAAAGCCCATAGACAAACAGCTAAGGAACTAGCCGTTGGAACCCAACGATCAGTTCGGCGGTCGACCGTGGAAAACTCGCGATCGACCGCAAGCAGCAAAAAGGCCAGGGTTTGGCTCTGGACAACAGACGGTCGATCGTGACGGTCAACCGCGAAACTCTCTGGACTGCATCCGATCGACCGCCATGGTCGACCGCGAGCCTCTGAAAAACTTACTGAGTCTCTAGACTCATGGGCGGTCGACCGCAAACTGATATATGAGAAAAACAGGTTTAGAAGCAGTTTGATAATTTTGAAACTCTGTTTAAAAATATCAAATAAATTCTAAAAAATATAAACCTTTGGGAAATGGTTTTCAAAAAGGACCTCCCAAATGAAAAATATCATCATTTTACAAAATAATCCAAAACAAGAAAATATGAACATATGAATTTTAACATTTTAGCTTAACCATATTTTGAAGCAATATGAAATGATTTTATAGACTTGAAGAAAGATGTAAACTATTGTTATGAAGTCTATAAGCAATGAATATAGTATTTTATCAAGATACACATATAATGTACTAAAACATGATTTCATTGAACTAAATAAAATTAATATTGATGAAATCATATATATGCATGTAAGTATGAAACAAAAATATGTTTTCAACTTAACTTATGTATATATATATAACTATATAAAGAAACCAATAAAATGTGTGTGCATATTATATTAAGCTTAAAGTACCAAGACACATAATATAACACCTAAACTAAATTTACCCAAGCTTATGATCTTCAACGAAGCTCTATCTTGGTACACTTGCGGATGAAGCTTGAACTTGAATCTTTAACTTTGAATTGAGTAGGCTTCACTCCACAATTCCGCCAACCTCCATTGGATATGATCGTGAATACGCAATTCCATCCATCCTCCAACTTGTTGTTTATCTACAATAAATAGATAAACATAAACACTAGACAAACAATATTAGTAGTACATTATTTATTAAACATTATCAAAACAAAGAGGCCAACACAAGCTTCCTGCTTTGTGTCTCTATTAACAGTTGGTTGTGGTGATGGTGTAATCGTTGATATTGTCTCTTCAATAGGTACGACTAGTATGACTGGTGGTGGAACTTCAGAAAGTATAATCTAGCTCGTTACTCGCTCCTTGAGAGTTGGTAGTTGCTACCTCTATAATCGGTATTACCAAGTCGATCAAATACTATGGAGCCTGCTACGGCTCGGGCACTACTTGCCCAGCTCTCCGGGCACGAGTTTTACCTCGACCACGTCCTAGTCTTGATATTCATAATATCAAGAGAAGAGCTTAATAAACACAGTAAATAAGATCGCAAACACATAACAATAAGAAATATGTATCACATATAATTCATGCAAATACTTTTTAATCAAAGTAAGATGGTCATAAAAAAAATCAATTTTTGGAATATACGTGTATAACGTCCTCACTCATTCTAGAAATTCATATCGGAATCATATAGGAATTCTAAGAAACTCTATCCTAGCTCCACGACTTGACACAGGAAAGATCCTAAGGATGCTGGTACTACAGCTCTGATACCAACTGTGATGCTCCTATTTTCATACATGGTTGCAGTCTAAGGTGAATCAAGAGATATCAAACCTGCTATGCACCCACACTGTGCAATAACATATTTACCAATTATAGTAATATCCTCTAGTGGAATCAAAAAGAAGTGTAGATACAAAATAGGCAAAATAAGGTAAATAAATACAATAGACATGATATACAAGGATAAATCTCATAAATGAAACCATGTCTCAAATGAATAAAACTGTAAACACCAAATTTCTGAAATAATGTAAAATATCTCAACATGAATCAACTTAAAACGTAACTAAGGCTCATAGACTTTACAAAATGAAATACAACTCAAATAATTAAATGGAAACATAAATCTACTGTGGAGCCTCTACTGATAACTCATGCGATGGAGACTATGAAAGAACACCATCGTCCTACGGCTCTCCGAAATTTTGAGCTACCTGAAAAGAAATTTTAAAACGAAAAGAACAACAACAAGAGCATCAGAGCGCTACAGCAAGATCACCTTCATCCGCCTACAGAGGAAGGGCTACTAGATAAAGTGGAGGCTATACCTATTAAGAATAGTCTACCTAGATCATTCTCCCTATATCTAATGGAATTAATATTTAGACACCTACAAGACGAGACATAGTACGTCAAGCAAAATAATCCAAACAAGGAAATCCTTATATATATACCATATGTCTCAAATTGTAGACGCCTAAACATTAACACCGAACTAGAGATAAACAATCTAAATAAAATCAAAAATTAGAAACCTACAATACGAGACTGGTACGTCAAGCAAAATAATCCAAACAAGGAAACCCTCATGTATATACCATATGTCTTAAATTGTGAATCGCTAATCATTGATCCTAACCTAAGAATAAAATAAAGCAATACAAAAAGTAAAGATATTCATAATATCGTATTTATACTATCTTCCACTATCACTGGGAAGACAAGATAAATATCAGCATATAACCCTGCGTACTTTCAAGGGAAAAGTATCTCGATCATATATCTCAGCAATGAGTCATATACATAACTGACATCCACCAAAGACTCAGGATATTAACAATCATCTCAATGCAAATCCTTACAAGATTCCGATTCATCACATCATCATGCAGGACAGACTGCCCGGTCGGTATCTTAACAATGTACACGGCTTATTAGTCTTATGGCATCTATACATAACATGAGTACGAGACGGACTATAAAGTAGGTATCCTAGAAATATGGCTCACAAGCCTCATCGCACCCTAGTGCGGGATGGACTACTAGATAAAGCATCCCAAACCCGAATCACTGGTCTGTACTAATGGTATATCGACGTACTACTCCACGTAGTACTTAGCGGTGCTCATTAATGATATCAAACATGTATATAAATGTGTAATCAACCTTTATCTCAAGTGTAATCAAAACAAAATTTGTAATAATCCCCTTTCGGGATACTTGTGGTGTGCTACGATACTATTCAGGTGTACCCATGACTGTACATATATCATCGTGCGGCTCGATCCCTGCGATTGCATTAGAAAAACATAAGAAACAAAACTACATGTAAAAAAATATCCCAGGTTGGTCAACCGGCCCAAGGGCATCGGTCGACCGACATAGAATTGTGCACAACGTGCACACACATGACTTTACTGGTCAACCGCCCCTAGGACGTCGGTCGACCGGCCAAAGCAATATCTGGTTCTTAGGTTTTCAGATTTGTATAATTTATAACTATATTTAAACAATTATTTATATCATCATGATACATATAATAATATTAAAAGTTGAACATTAAATAACAGAAGATCATCTCCACAAAAATTAAACTTTTTTTTAATCTAATAAGGGTAAACATCCTAATTAATCAATTTCTCGAATAAAACATGAAATTTATCCTCAAGATTAACTGAACATGATAAATTCTACATAATTAACAGAGATGAAAAATTATTTAAACATGTTTATAGAACTTAGGTATCATAAACCAAAGGTTTAATAATCTCTCTTTTACATGAAAACTCAATTAATAATAAATTTATGCTTTAAACATGATTAGGACATGATTAACAAGTTAAAAATAA